CTCCCTCTGACCCTCCCAACCCTCCCCCCTCTCATGTGCTCTTTCTCTCAGTCTCTCTCTCTCAAATAAATAAATAAAATCTTTAAAAAAAAAAACAAAACACATATTACTCTCATAATAAAAAAAACTGAAATGAAAACAAATACAGTATCCTCCATACCAAGGCCTAGGTAATAAGGCCAAGCCTGTCATGCCTCTGTGGGACCAAGAGAGAAGCAAACTCACTCCAAACATAGGCATCTATTTTCTGGCTAGACTATGAGCCACCCCATTAGTTGCCCCAAAACAGCAGACAATTTGTTTAGGGATCAAGTGGGAAGGGGCATATTTTCTAAAATACTGGCCCCGAGCAACTGCCTATTAATGACTGACATTAAAACTCAAACAAATGTGTGCCTATTTGATAGCTACCCTAGGAAAAGGCAGGTTTCTACATCCTATGAAAGGGAATCTTTAGGACTCTGCTCTGGGCTGGAAGTCTTAAAAAGTCAAAGAACCAGTTTTTAACAAAGTTTAAAAAACTCTTTTTTAAGATTTATTTATTCATCTGAGAGAGAGAAAGAGAGAGCATGAGCAGGAGGGGGAGAGGAAGAGAGAGAGAGAATCTTAAGCAGACTCTACTCCGAGTGAGGAGCCTGACATAGGGCTCCATCTCACGACCCTGAGATCATGATCTGAGCTGAAACCGAGTCAGATGCTTAACCCACTGCGCCACCCAGGTGCCCGTGCCCAAAATTTTTAACACACACCTCTTACCACACACACATGCACCAAGAAAAGGCCATGTGAGCACATGGGGAGGAGGCAGCTCACTCTCTGCAAGCCAAGAAGACTGTCACTATTAGAACTTGACCATGCCAGCACTCTGATCTTGGACTTCCAGTCTCCAGAACTGTGAGAAAATGAATTCTGTTGTTTAAGCCACCCAGTGTATAGTATTTTGTTACTGTCAGCTTGAGCAGACTAAGGCAATACTATTGCATATAATGGATACTATTCCATATAATGGAATACTATCTAGTCTTTAAAAAGAATAAAGCAGCTCCCTGCTCAGCAAGGGAGGGGGTCTGCTTCTTCCTCTCCCTCTGCCCCCTCTCTCCCACTTGTGTTCTTGTGTTCTCTCTCTCTCAAATAAATAAAATCATTTTTTTTTAAAAAGAATAAAGCAGCTCTTTGTGGATGCATATGAAATGATACATAAGATGCAATAAGTGAGAAAAGGCAAGTTGCAGAACAATGTGGAATATGCTACTATTTACAAGAAAGAATAGATACCGTTTGCTTGTACATATATAGAATATGTCTGGAAGGATGCACAAGAAAGTTGTGGCCTCTGAGATGGGCCAAGGATGGTTAAAAGTATTAGGGAGATATTTCGCTGCCTATCACTGCCATGCATTTTAAATTATGTACCAGATGAACGTACCTGCCCCAAAAACATTTTTAAGTAAAAAAAAAAAAATTTTTTTAAGGAACAGTTGGTTCATTTGTTATTTCTCAAAAAATGACTTTAGTTGTACAATGCTTTTTAACAGCCCTCAATTACTTTGTTCAGGAGGTTGTAGCCACTGTAAGGGAGCAAAATTTGCCACCCAAAGTGTGCCTCTTTGGCATATGTATTATTTTAGGCTGATTATTTTTAAGGAACAACAGGCTCAGGAATAACTGCTGACCTTCCCCCAACTACCTAAAAGAATTTAGAGAACCTGCTCCAGGAAGGAAGCTGTCACCATAGACAGTTATTCAACTATGGTTGCATTTCTACACGCTAATAATGAGCTATCAGAAAGAGAAATTAAGAAAACAATCCCATTTACACCTGCATCGAAAAGAATAAAATATCTAGGAATAAATTTAACCAAACGGGTGAAAGACTTGTACTCTGAAGACTGTAGGACATGGAGGAAAGAAACTGAAGATACAAATAAATGGGAAGATATATTCTGCTCATGGCCTGGAAGAATGAATATTGTTAAAATATCCATACTTCCCAAAGCCATCTACAAATTCAATACAATCCATCAAAATACCATTTTACACAAAACTAGAAAAAAAAATCCTAAAATTTGTATGGAACCCCAAAAACTCGAAGCAATCTTGAGAAAGATCAAAGCTGTAAATATCATGCTCCCTGATTTCAAACTATACTACAAAGCTATAGTAATCAAAACAGTACGGTACTGACACAAAGACAGACCCATACATAGATCAATAGAATAGAACAGAGAGCCCATAAATAAACCCACATGTATATGGTCAATTAATCTACTACAAAGGAGACAAAAATATACAATGGGGAAAAGACAGTCTCTTCAATAAATAGTGCTGGGAAAACTGGACAAGTTACATGCAAAAGAATGAAACTGGACCACTATCTTACACCACATATAAAAATAAATTCAAAATGGATTAAAGACTTGAATGTTAAGTCCTGAAGTCATAAAACTCTTGGAAGAAAAAGATGGGCAGTAAGCTCTTTGACATCAGTCTGAGCAGTATTTCTTTGAACAAATCTCCTCAGACAGGGACAACAAAAGCTAAAATAACAAATAGGATTACATTAAACGAAAAAGCTTTTGCAGAGTGAAGGAAACCATCAACAAAACAGAAAGGCAACCTACTGAATGGGAGAAGATATTTGCAAATCACACATCTGATAAAGGATTAACATCCAAAATATATAAAGTTACACAATATTTTAGAAAACGATTAAAAAATGGGCAGAGGACTTGAAAAGACTATTGTCAAAGATGACATACAGATGGCCGACACATGAAAAGGTGCTCAACATCACTAATTAACTATCAGGAAAATGAAAATCAAAGCCACAATGAGATACTACCTCACACCTGTTAGAATAGCTATTATCAAAAAGACAAAAAGTAAGTGTTGGAGAGGATGTGGAGAAAGTGTGGAGAGGATGTAGAGAAAAGGGAACTCTGATACACTGTTGCTGGAATGTAAATTGGTGCAGCTACTATGGAAAACAATATACAAGATCCTCAAAAACTTAAAAGCAGAATTACAATCCAGTAATTCCACTCCCAGGCATTTATCTGAAGAGAATGAAAACAGCAAATGAAGAAATATATGCACCCCTATATTCACTGCAGTATTATTTACAATAGCCAAGATATGGACGCAACCCAAGTGTTCATCAACAGATGAATGGGTAAAGAAGATGTGGTAAATATATACAATGAAATATTACACAGCCATAAAGAATGAAATCTTGCCATTCTCGACAGCATGGATGGACCTAGTGGGTATTATGCTAAGTGAAGTAAGTCATACAGAAAAAGACAAAACATGTACAACTTCTCCTGTATGTGGAATCTAAACAACAGAACAAAACAGAAACAAACTCATAGGTGTAAGAAACAAATTGTTAGTTACCAGAGCGGGGAGGGGCTGGGGAGCGGAAGGAACAGGTGAATAGGATTAAGAGGCACAAACTTCCGGTTATAAAATAAGTAAGTCATGGGGAGGTTAAGTACTGCGTAGGGAATATAGTCAATACTGTAGTAACTTTGTATGGTGACCATGGCAACCAGACTTATCCTGTGGATTTCTTAATGTATAAAAATATCGAATCACTATGACGTGCTAGATATTGAACGTCAAGTACAGTTCAATTAAAAAACAAAGAAAACAACACTCCTCACAGCAAATTTTCTCTCCACCACACCTCGAAGCTTTATTGTCCCAGTCTCTTCCTTCCCCATTCACAACCTGCCTGCCTTTCGTCCCATTTCCTCTCCACTCTTCCCAAACTCCATTTTTCACCCTTCTGCAGGCTCCACTCCCCCTAGCCTCAGAAGTCCCAAAGCTGTTCCTTTCTCGGACCCCGACTTGACCTCCACCACCCCCTTCTCCCTCCTCCAGGCCCCAACCCCTCCTCCAACACCCTCTCACGCCCCCACGTCCCACCTGCACTCTCCGCCGCTTCAGCGCCGCCGCGTCCAGCCACACGCCGCAGGCTTCTTCCTCAGGGGCCCTCCGCCTCATGGCCGCTGCCGTGACCCAGCCAGCAGGACACCTGTCTCGGGCTCTCCGCCGCCTCACGGAACGGCTATAACTGCCTCCCCCGACGTTCGGATCTCGCGCCAACGCCGGGGGCGGAGCTACGCGGCCGCCGCCGCACGCACCGCCCCAGCATCAGTCCCGCCCCTCTTTCTCAGCCGATGGCCTCACAGGGTCGTCTGGTGGGTGGAGAACGTTTCGGTTTCCCAAGGCCTTCACGTCCCTTGTGATCTTCGAATTACAGAGTTGCCTTCCCGCGATTAGCCTGTGTGAACGCGTTCACGACAATGCACAAGGAATATGCGTTTCTTTTCGCTAGTTAGTTGCACTTTCTTGCTGTAAACGTAACTACCCCGGGCTCAGGGTTTTCCAGTTTCACAGCTGCATCCTCACAGTCATCCCAAAAGGAAAGGTGGAGCCAAGGCTGCGGTCCGCCAACCCCAAAGCCGGCGTCCCCAGCACTACCCGAAGTGGTAACCATACACTAGAGTTTATGAATTACTTTTGAATTAAAAAAAAAAAATCCAAGCATAACTATGAAACCACATGGGAGAGGATTTAGAAAACGTTAAGAAGGGGGCGCCTGGGTGGCTCAGCGGGTTAAGCGTCTGTCTTCTGCCGGGTCATGATCCCAGCTAAGGTTCTGGGATGGAGCCCCAGCTCCGACTCCCTGCTCAGCGTAGAGTCTGCTTCTCCCTCCCCCTCTGCCCCTCCCCCCCACTCGTTTTCTCTCTCTCAAATAAAATCTTTTAAAAAAAAGGGGTGGGGCACCTGGGTGGCTCAGTTGATTAAGTGTCTGCCTTTATCAGGTCATGATCCCTGGGTCCTGGGATCCAGCCCTGCGTTGGGACCCCTGCTCAGCGGGGAGCCTGTTTCTCGCTCTCCCTCTGCAGCTCTTCCTACTTCTGCTCGCTCTCTGTCAAATAAATAAAACCTTTAAAAAAGGTTAAAAATGAAACCTAAAAATTTGGAGTCCCAGGTTTGTCAGCTCCCAAAACTATCTCCTAGTTCTGCCTTCACAGCTTAAGAGAGACCCTGGATTTTAAAGAGGATCAAGTGAGGTAAAGCTTGTGAAAGCTCCTCAGAAATGCGGAAGTGCTGGCATCCCACTCATCCTTCCATCCCTAACCACAGTCCCCATAGATGTTCTTTACATATGTATATTAGCTATAGACATATATACGTAGACAGGATATTTTTTAAAAGATTTATTTTAGAGAGAGAGAGTAGCGGGAGGGGCTGAGGGAGAATCTCAAGCAGACTCCCCCTGAGTGCGGAGACCCACGTAGTGCTGAGATCATGACCTGAGCCAAAATCAAGAGTCCAACATGCTTAACCAACTGAGCCACCCAGGCGCCCCTATAAACAGGATAGTTTAGCAGTAGAGTGATATTTTTTTAAAAAATATTTTATTTATTTGACAGAGAGCGTGCACAAGCAGGGGAAGCAGCAGGCAGAGGGAAGAGCAGACTCCCCGCTGAGCGGGGAGCCTGATGTGGGACTGGATCCCAGGACCCTGGGATCCTGACCTGAGCCCAAGGCAGACGCTTAACCCACTGAGCCACCCAGGCGCCCAGCAGAGTGATATTTTTTATTCACTTGGGTTTTTTTTTATCAGTACTTCCTAATTTTCCTTCACTGTACTGTGGAAAACTGTATTGTAAACTGTACTGTGGAAAAGCAGTATTATAAAAATTAACATATAAAATCCTTCTTGATTGAAGGAAAGACCCAAAAATGAAATCTTTGTCAAATTACAAAGTGGACTTATATAAAATTTTACACATTCCTTTAACTTCTAAAACTTATTTGGTAATAAAAATGCCCTGCCTTCCCTGCCAAAAAGAAAAAGTTCATATATATAGTGTATAAGGCCCCCAACCACCGCCAGGCAAAGAGAAAACATGAACTGCCTTCCTCCTCCCTGTTCCCACCCCTGGGGGCCCCAGCATGCCCTGGAAAACTTCCTCAACATGCTAAGCAGGTCCATGGGGGCCCCAGGGCCCCATTCCCAGGACAGGAGGCAAAAAGCAAAGAGGCTGCTCTTATCAGTCCTTTATTGCATCCTGGACATATCGGGAGTCCAGACCACCCCCACCTCCAGCGCCGCTGAACTCCCTTCAGTACGTCTTTGGCCTTTGTAGAGGCTTTTCCCTCTGCCTGGAATGCCCTTCTTCATCTGCAAACTCCTATTCACCCTTCCCAACCCAAGACCGTGAGGGTCGCAGGCAGCATTATTCCTCCTTGGTGCTTCCCCTGACAGGTCATTCCCGTATTAAAACTCTCATCATCCTGCATTGATCCACAGGACTCAGCTGGTAGCCTGCCTCTGAGCAGAGGCCCAGGAAACACTGAAATGGGTAACTGAATCATGGACAAGGAAACCAGGAGAGAGGCTGGGAACAAGATGTGTGGGTCACAGAGGCCAGAGCTAGAAAGGCTGGGGCTCACTGTGTGGGACAGTGACTGAGGAGGTATGGGCACTGGGTGGGATCCATTTCTCCCTAGCACCATCTTCTACTTTTGGACACTCTGTGGAACTCCAAAACTCCAGGCTGGAGCTCAAGGGATGGTAAGATCCTACATACATTTGGGGCCTGCCCCTTCCCTGTCCACCAGTGAAATCTGGCGGAGGGCGGGGGGTTTGCTGAGGCCTCTTCTGCCTCTGGCCTAAAGTCTACCTTCACCCCCTCTCAGATAATCTGGAAGCTCCCAACCAGGGTCCTGGCCCCAGCTGACCCCCGATCCTCACCCCTAGTGAGAGGCAATGGGGAGAGGCAAGCCTGGTCGGCAGCACCCATCTTTATCTCTTCTCCTCTCCCAGGGCAGGGGGCTGGGGCAGGGCCAGGAGTGAACCCCAGCAGCTCCTGGCCAATCCCCAAATCCAGGGACTGGCCAGTACCGCCTTTGGCAGCTGAGGCGTGCACAGAAAGTCACCGCAGGCCACACACAAACAACTTTACCAGGCCTTGTTCCCCTCTGGAGCCAAGCCGGGACCCCGGGGCTCCCACTCTACCTCCCTCCCCTACCAGCCGCCACCCCGCCCCACCCAGCCCCGGCCCTTCACTGGGTCTTCTGGTCGAGTTTGCGCCGCACCAGCTGGCTCAGGATAAACGCCGTCAGCACACTGCTGCCCACGGTGAGCAGGAAGAGGCCAGAGAAGTTGTGGGGCCAGCGGGTGTGCAGAGGCTCGTAGATGGGCCGCCGGGCCTCGTAGTCCAGGGCCACGGCCTCCAGCTGAGCCAGCGTGCACAGCACCAAGAACACGTGGAAGAGCTGGTGGCCCTGCCCGAAGAGGTGGCAGCTGCCAGGAAACCAGCGCTCGGGCACGAAGGCCGAGAAGAAAGCGGCGGCCAGCAGGAAGAAGACCACCTGGCACTTGTGGTAGAGAAGGGCGGGGTCAGCGGCGCTCGGCTCGGGGGACACCAGGATGCGGTGCGCCACGGGGCTGATGTCCAGCGCGTAGGCCAGCGCCGACGGCGCCTCCTGGCAGGTGCGGCCCAGCAGGCCAGGCTTCTGGCTGTACTTGTTGTAGCAGGAGCCAGTGCAAGAGAGCCAGGCGAGAAAGGCGGCCGTGGGCAGGAAGACGGCCTGCACCCGGGCGTGCCAGGCAGGCTCGATGGCGTAGTAGAAGTGCGCCAGGGCGCTGCCGAACTGGTACACGGCCACGCCCACGTAGTCCAGGAAGAAGAAGCTGTAGTGCCAGAACTCGGACTTGGCCTGCAGGAGGTGAGCCAAGGCGCTGAGGGAGAGGTAGGTGAAGGAGGCAAGCACAATGATGAACAGGGGCAGGGCGTGGGGGTCTCCCCAGAAGTCCACGGTCCCCGCAAAGATGGCCAGCCGCAGCAGCAGCACCAGCGCGGCCAGCAGGTGGGTCCAGACGTTCACCGCCTCGTTGTGCTGCTGGAAGAGCGTGCGGAAGTAGAAGCGCCACGTCTGGTGCAGCGGCCGGTAGCCCACGTAGATGTACGGCTTCCAGAAGAGGCGCGGCACCTCGGCTCGGGCCACCGTGAACACGGGCTCTGGCCGCCCGGAGCGCCGCGGCTCCCGGTGGGCCTGCCGCAAAGCGGGCAGCAGATGGCTGAGCTTCTGGGCCACCATTGTGGCCATGGCTGCGGGCCAGGCCGGGAGCTGGGAGAGAGGCCAGAGCAAAGTCAGGGCGCCCTGGGCCACCGCGAGCAGCAGCTGGGAGGCTCTGGAGCCCAGTTCTCACTCCCTCCTTCCCGCCCTCTTTATCCCCTACACTGAGTTTCCGAAGAGAGGAGTCATCCTAAGGAAGATCGCAGCTCTGCCCCGACGGCTGTTGTGCGCCCTGATGCATCCCAAGTGCCTAGAACCGTGCCTGGCATGCCGTAGGTGCTCAAGCGATGCTTGAGGAATGAATGGAGGTGGCTCACTACCTCAGCCACTTCCATTCCAGTCCAGGTCCACACGGCAGCCCCTGCTGCTTTCTCCCATGTTCGTGTCACCATCTGTGTTCACCTGCCGGTGACAGTGACCTAGCTAACAGACCCACTGCCTCCACCTTTAGCCCCTTCGGAGTGGCAGGGTCTCCCACCGACCCTCCATCGGCCTCCACGATCTGGTCCCTGCTACCTTTTCCTGCCCTATTGCTCGGCCACAGTGCACTTCCAACCCAGCCACAGCCTCACCACACCCCTGAGCCTGTTTCACATGTCCAGAGGTTTACACAAGCTCTTCCCTCTGCCTGAGACATTTTCCTCATCTTGCCTACCTGGTAAAACTCCTACTCATCCCTCAAAACCCATTCTTCTGTGACACTTTCCCTGGCCCCCTGAACCTCTGATGATGACCTCTCTACTTGAGTGCCTACCATAAGATACCCATCCTTTGACCATCGTAACATTTCTCATGGGCATTAAAATCGTTAATGTGAGCTCACATAAGGGTAGGCAGTTAGTCTCATTGTTTTGTGAACCCGCAGTGCTTTGCAGGTAGCTGGCATTCAGTATTTGTTGAATCAAAGAGCATAACAGCATCCCGATAACACTTCATACCTTTTAAAGTCCCCAACTCAAAAAGTCACTTTTTTCCCCTGGAAGTCCCCAGTTAACAACTGATTCTGTAAAAACAGCCCTTTCCTTCAGCCACACCTCCACTCAGAAGATGCCTCCTCTAGCCTTTCCATTCCCACCCACGGCTGCTAATTCCAAAGACATCAAATCTAACCCTTCACACCCTGCCATTCAAGACCCTGCTCCTACCCTTACTTCCCACCTAACCCGATATCACACTCTGTTTATCACCCTCTATTTCCCTCCCCTGAAAGCCTTTAGGGCCAGTTCAAACTGCCACTTCCAAGGGACCTCCTTACTACCCCCGCCCTGTCTACTCCCCTTGTATAGGTTATATAATGTACCATATGAAACATATTCATTCACTCATTCATTTGTTCATTTAGCAAACACTTACTGAGCCCCTCCTCTGCCTCAGGTCCTGTGCTGGGTCCAGGGGACGGCAGAGAGGAAAAAGATTTAACCCCTGCCCCCAGGACTTCATGGTATGGTGCAGATTATCGAAAGGAAAACAAATCATAGCAAATGCTTATACAGTACCCGCTACGTGCCAGACACCGTTTCAAGCCCTTTACATATAATTGACTCATTTATGCTTCATAACACCCTGTGAGTAGGTACTATCATTATTCCCATTTTGCAGATAAGGAACTGAGGCATGGAGATGTTAAGGACCCTGCCCACCCACCAAGCTAGGCAGAGGCATGGTCTGGACTCAGTTTGCAATCTTAACCACTACCCTAAACTGTCCTTCGCAAGACAAGGTGACAAGTGCTAGTAATCATTTCATAGTTATATACTTTCTATATAGTTTTGCCTGAAACCAGTTGCTTACTTCAGGCTTATCATCATTCACTGTGTCATTCATTAAATCAGTATCTATTGAAACACTAGCACCTGCCAGACAACTCCCATCCCTCCAGCGAGCTTACTGGACTCCGTACCCTGATTTTCTGTCCATCTTTCGTCAGATATTTTTTGCAACTACCTTTGCACCAGTCATTGTAAGAGGCAAGGAGATCTGGGCAGGATAAAGCTCTCATGTTTCTGCCACCAGCAGCACCCTAATCACCCCCAAATCCCCCCCAATAATTGACACAAGTCCAATAAATGCAGGGAGCTTGCCATGCGAATGCAGTATCAAGACAAGCCCACCCTCCTCCTCAACCTAGCCTGACCTGCATCCCTAAGCGCCCCCGCCAATTACACTTCTCAAGTCAGCTCTGGTCTCTGGCCTCTCCTAGTCCAATGAGGAGGCAGGAGTTAAACAAGTCGCTACAATACTGCACAAGGGGTGCTTTGGACAGGGGGGTGCAGGACTCTCCCACTTCCCATTCCCCAGACAGCATGGCCGAGGTCAGGTTTAGGAAGCAGACCTTGCTGGCCGCTTCCGTCCATGAGAACCGCCTGGCCGGCCTTGCTAGTGGAGAAGCCAGCACTGGAGGTCCTCTCCTCCCCAAGAGGCTGGGCTTCAGCCTCTACCCTTGTCTACAACTTTGGCTTTCCAACTCAGAACCTCAGGAAGCCAGAAAAGGCCTCTGAAAGTGTCTCATGCAGCACCTTTGTTTTACACTGAGAAAACAAGAGCCCAGAGACAGGAAGCCCTTCCCTGGAGTTGCCCAATCCAGCAAGGTTTCCATTCCACCACAAGGGAAAAAGACCAGGGAATGATAATGTGTGCGATGGTGGCCTAGCTCCTGGGTCCCTGTGATCCATTAAATCTAGTCCAAGGCTCCATATCCCACTCTTAGAACTTTCCAAGTCATAACAGCCTATTAAAGGCTCTGAGAAGTCCTGCAGCAAAGAAGGCAGCTTTGCTTTGTTGAACCTCCATTTGTCAAGCCTACCTGACCAAGGATTCTTTTCCTAGTAATAATTATATTGTAAAGCCAGCTGAAATGTGTGCTTACTATATGCTTACTCTTTATAACCTTGTTGCAATTAACTCTCATAACTAGCCTGCTGAGGCAGGTATTATGCCCATTTTCTTTTTGAGGATAGTGAAACTCAGAGAGGTTAGGAGCTCCTCCCCAAGGTGCACACGCACACATACATGCGTGTGTATACACACACACACACACACACACACACACAGAGGCTACCCTGGCTCCTGTCACGCCAATCTGCATTCCACAGAACTACTTTGGAAGATAATGGTCTAAAGCAGGTAGCCAAGGCCTTTCCCATAAATTGTTTCCTTAGTCTTCTACCAACTGACACGCATCCAGGGACCTCAGGCTCCCCACGTTACCAGCCACCCCCTGGCTCTACGCCAAGGAAGCCCTAGCTCACAGCCACCTCCTCAGCTGGTGATAGCGCCCTCAGGGCCCTCCTCCTCCAACAGACACAGTGAGGCCTAAGCACAGAACCCAGAGGCTACATCCTGGGATAAAGAGATCCTGCTCCCTACTTCCTTTAGACCTCACCCAGAGGCCCCATTCCATCTGGATACGTCTATTTTCAGAATTAGTTCCCATCTCCTGACTCCATGGAAAGGTGCAGGGGTCCAGCATGAGCTGAAAGGAGGACGGTAGGTATCCAGAGACCACCCCCAGAGAATCTTCAGAGTCATCTGCCCACCAGGATGCCAGGACCTGCCTGTTTCGGGCCACCCTCCATGGCCCCTCTCCGAGCCTAGGTTACCTAGGGGTTTTCCTCGAGCCTGCGGGCCGATGGCTTCCGCTGTGGGACTGGGCAAATTCACCAGATGCCAAGCACTGAGTGGCACTTCCACAGGTGACAGTCACTAGGGGCGGGGCTTCCAAGGGCTGGAGGTGTCTTGTGTGATGTCACCAGAGGGTGGGGCTAAAGAAAACCTCCACCTCTCCCTTCCCCCTCCCCACCATCACCATTCCCACACAGGTCAAAGTCCAGCTAAACGTTGCCCTCCTAGCCAGGCCTCAGCTGCAGAAGGAAGCTCAGCATTACCCTCCACATGAAATGTCGGGGGAAACCCAGGGCTAGCTAAAAAGTTGTGACTTACCCAAGATTCACACGGCAAGACGGGCAAAGCTGGGCTGAGACCAGGTGACCAGGGCCTGGTTGATGGATGTCCGGCAAACTTGACTGGCTTCTGTCCCTACTCACCAGGAATCATAATGGAAAGAAGTTAGAAATAAAGAAGAAAGCGGACACCAGAAAGGCTCATGAAGGAGATGGACTTCAGATTCACAAAAACCAGGTCTGATGCCTGCGTCCATCACATGCTAGCTGTGTGACCTAAGACAAGTGACTCATCTTCTCTGAGCCTTAGCTCCCTCATGGGAATTATAATATTATCTATAGCATAGATGGCTATAAAGATTAAACTCATTAGAATAAAGTTTTAGCACAGTTTAGGGACTCGATAAATAATTGCTGTTATTATCAACTATTAATAGTAGTAGTAACTAATTATTATTAACAGTAGTAGTATTTGAATTATCCCCAGCCTGAGTAGTAGTATTTGAAATATCCTCAGCCCTAGAGATTGGCTTGGCATCGTCTTAAAAAACTGTCCTCTTTTAGCCCTCAGTAGCTGGTTCCACTGGATTTGGGGGCTTTGGTTAACTGTGTCTCTTGCATAGTTTACCTTTCTCTGAGGATACATGTAAGGACCAGGGAAATTTGGCTGGAGTTTGAACTTCTAGGGACACTGACCTTATTTCATAATTGAATTCTCCTCAGCATAGACCATTCAGAGTAACCTCTCTGGGTCCAAAGAGCCCTGAAGATTCGCATTTGTGCCGCACAGACCCAAAAGAGGTGGCTGGGAAGTGAAATCACCAGGGAAAGGGTCTCAGCTGCAGGTGCTCCATCCCCCAGTGGGAGGGTCAAAAGGGTAGACCATGCCAGCAGGTGATCCAAAAGGCATGTGGCCTGGCCAGGGCATGTCTTGTGGGTTTGAGAGGCTTCCAGGTTGGCTGAGCCTCAGCACTGAGATCTCCAGGGCCCACGTGGGAGCTCCTGTGAATTCGAGAAGCTCGGTCCTCCTCTGCCCTCCCACCTCCCATTCCCCTTTCCTAAACACAACGTCAACCTCCTCACCTCGCTCCTCAATCCAGGCTTGCCCCAGTTCCTCCTGGTCTCTCCCTGATACACTTTGCCAAAGAGTCCCCTAAATACCTGGGGGGCAAAACAGATGACCAGGTTGTAGGGATGGGGCAATAAATGGGTTTTGAGGGGCACCTGGGTGGCTCAGTCGTTAAGCGTCTGCCTTCGGCTCAGGTCATGATCCCAGGGTCCTGGGATTGAGCCCCGCATCGGGCTCCCTGCTCCATGGGAAGCCTGCTTCTCCCTCTCTCACTCCCCCTGCTTGTGTTCCCTCTCTCGCTGTGTCTCTCTCTGTCAAATAAATAAGTCTTAAAAAAAAAAAAAAAATGGATTTCGAAGTGGGAAAGCCCCCAGTTTTACCCATCCCATTGAGTTTAGTGCACATGACAGGCACAAAACTACAGAGCTGGGGCACAGGGTGAAGCAAGCAGACAGACTCCCTGCCCTGACAGCCCTCACCCACACAAACAAAATGCCTACGGGCTAAGGAAAATCCAGTCCTGAGAGAAGGCACGCAGGTAGTGATTGTGTAGCACTGGGGAGAGCTGACGCCCCAAGGGAGGGTGCCTACCACTCACCTCGGGCAGACTATTTCAAAGAGAAGCCAGGTCCCCATTATTATGTGAGAGTGGGATTTCAAGTCTGACACGTATCGGCTGTGTGACTTTGCTTTTAAGTCCCTTAACCTCTCTGAGCCTATTTCCTTATTCATAATCGAAGGATAGTAACAGCTACCCCTTGGGCTCTTGTGACAGCAAAACAAAGTCATAGATGCCATGTCGGCTCTGGCACAGCCTGGCTCTGCTATTTTTGCTGGGTTCGAGTCTTGGCTCAGCCGTTCAATCCCTGTGGGACCTTGGACAAGTCCATTCCCCTCTTGGCCCTGTTTCTCCAAATGTCAAAGGACAGAATGAATTTACCGGTAACGTCAAAGGGCCCTTCAGGCCCTGAGACGTTCCAATATTTGTTTCAGGCCGAGTATGTGCCAGGGGCTGGAGCTTCAGCAGTGAACAAAACCGTTAAGACACTTCCCTCATGGAACCAACAGCCCAGCTAACTACCAGCTAAGGGTAAGAACTAAGGGTATTAATACCCTGCCCTCTTGGAGCTTAATAGCCTAACTAAAAAAACGCCTATTATGAGTATTAATTGGTTGTAATTCCATTTTCTCTCTCACCTCCATCTTGGCATGCAAAATATTCATTGTTGCTTCTCTGGGCCCTGATTGTTCAGCACATTCCTTTAAAGAAAACTTTATCTTGCCATAGAAGACAAAGTCTAACCTCAGACAAAAAAAAAAACTGTAAGGCGGGAGGGGGGACACCTGGCTGGCTCAGTAGGTAGAGCACGCGACTCTTGATCTCAGGGTCATGAATTCAAGCCGCATGTTGGGCCTGGAGCCTACTTAAAAATAATAATCACAATAATAATAGTAAGGCCAGACCTGTGTTAACACAGGAGTTGTTAGAGGTAAATACTCTTGAGGGGTCCTGACAAGGACAATACCATATAAGGGCCCAAAATACTATCAATAAGATTAGGCACTAACCTTAGTAATTTAGAGTGGCTTGCTGTTTACAAAGAACTTTCACATACATTTCAACTCTCCCTCAAAGCGACTCTGAACCTCCACGTAAGCCGGTGTCACAGCCCAGGAGGCAGGATGGCCAGGACAACATCTGACTCCCAAACCAGTGCTCTTGCCCTTCATCTACTGTAGTCAACTCCCAGGCATCCAGTGGGTGCCCACAGATTACATAGCAAAGTTTTCATCCCTGGCTAGCCTCCCAATCTCCCAGCAACTGGGTCACCTCCCTCAACGCAAACCAATTCCCCAACTCGGCAGAATGTGTTTAAGAAAAAGTTCTTCCAGGGGCGCCTGGGTGGCTCAGTCGTTAAGCGTCTGCCTTTGGCTCAGGTCGTGATCCCAGGGTCCTGGGATCGAGCCCCACATCAGGCTCCTGGGATCGAGCCCCACATCAGGCTCCTTGCTCAGCAGGAAGCCTGCTTCTCCCTCTCCCACTCCCCCTGCTTGTATTCCCTCTCTCACTATGTCTCTCTCTGTCAAATAAATAAATCTTTAAAAAAAGAAAAAGTTCTTCCAGTTCTTCCAAAACTGAACAGAAATAATTTTTGTTTTTTGTAACTGCACCCTGGGCCTCCATCTGTAATCAGAACAGAATAAGTAAGTCAAAGGAATTCTGTGGAACTCAGATTCACTAATGCTCTGAGGACAAGGAAGAAGAACCTGTAGGAAGAAAGCAGGCTCAGAGAGGTTGGGTGAGCTGGCTACTGTCACCCAGCACGGGATGGAAAAGTGACCCAAGTTTCACCTCTAGCCAGCAAGGGCCCCTCTAGTCACAGAAACTGAGGCTGGAGTGGGGCAGCCTCTCACCAAGGGGTTCTGAGGTGGCACAAGCCGCTTGACGTGAGGCTGGAACCCTCTCCCACAGGAGCTTTAAAACATAAGGTCCTGGGCCATCCAGCCAGGTGCAGCCAGGCTCTGGGAATCCATCAAACTCTCAAACTCGCCAGCTGCGGCCTGACCAGGCCCCTCACTCAGGCCAGGCCTGCACGGGCCGCCCCAGGGAAACCCCTCTGGGGGTCCTCAAAGCCTGCAGGCTTAAAGCAAATGCTATGGGTGGTGTGGGGCTCCCTCCCCTTCCCCTCACTGGGTAGGGGAAACCTCCATGCTTTCCTGACACCAAGACAGGCCTCCCCATCCCAACCGGCCTAGGCATCCCCCAAGTGGGACGCCCTCACATCATCCGGTCCCAAGTAGTCGCGCCCCCTGTGCCCCCGGAGTCTCCCTAGATTCCCCTGCAGGGGGAGCAGCGAGCCCCCGGCCTCTCCTCCTCCCCGCCACCGCCGCTCGCCCAGGCCGGCCGGCCGCCCAGCCCACTCCCTCGGATGTGCTCCGTTCCAGCGGGTCCCCCAGGATCCTCCCGCTCTCACCCGGGGTGCTCCGGCTCCGGCCCCGCGGCCCCGCTCGGCCTCGCCCCCTGCGCGCGCGCC